ATAGATATAGGCGACCTAGATTGCTGACTCGGCTGAAGAGGCGCGCCAAATTTGAAAATCCAAGATCGCGGCTCAACCGGTCAAAAATCATAGAGCGACATAAGGAAAAACCATGTTATTTGCATTTTACTCCGTCCTACTGTTTCCGATCCCGTTGAACCACCTTTTTGGGGAAGAACTAACTGGTGTGAAAGTTTTGGATGTATATTTGTTCTAATTAGTACAATTTACAATTTGGAATTCGACCGGGCAAGAATGGGCAAAGACCAAAAGGGCGCGAAACGGCCGGCCTGGTTTCTTTTCCTGTGTATTCCTTCAGTCTTAAAGGTCTTTTACCAGTTTTTCTCAAGTAATGTTATATATATATATATATATATATATATATATATATATATATATATATATATATATATATATATATATATATATATATATATATATATATATATGCCCCACAATCGTGAGGCATCAAAGGTAACTGTAAATAGCAGTTACTTTCATCCTGCTCATCAGCACTACACTGATGAGGCCCATAAGGCCGAAACGGTACCGTCTGTAGTTAGATATCGCTTTATGGCCTTTAGGTCATATTGAGCGCTCTACAGGATGAGCCATGGTTTTGATGTCCCACAATTGTGAGGCATCAAAGATAACTGTATATATATACATATATATATATATATATATATATATATATATATATATATATATATATATATATATATATATATATATATATATATATATATATATATATAAAGCAGTAAACATCATGCGCTGTGTTGAGCGCGTATTATAAGTTTTGGTCTGCTGTTACAATATCTGCTTTTAAAATATATGGAACATTCTCGGGGTGTCTTTTTTCCATAAATTTAAATGTTATTGACTCTGCTAATCTTGAATAAAAAAATCTATGGTTCAACCCCCGTTCAGTAAGAATGTTAAAAAAAACATTGCACGTAAGTTCCTTCAACTAATTGACAAGCATTTCCCCAGATCATCTCGCCTCTACAAGATCTTCAATCAAAACAGAGTGAAAGTGAGCTACTTGTGCATCAGCAACATCAAGAGCGATATTTCCAACTGCAATCGACACCTGCCTGGAAGAAAGAACGAGCCAGAAAGAAAACTAAGAAACGTGTAACTGTCATGTTAATGCCAAATGTCGGCTTGACGGTAAATGTTTATCAACAAGTACTGTATACAAAGCAGAAATATCGACAAGTGACAGCGAAGAAACAAAGGAGTACATTGGAATGACGGCAGGGACGTTCAAGAAAAGGTATGCCAATCATAAAAAATCACAAAATGTTCCTCGGTATTCAGCGGAAACAGAATTATCGTAGTATGCGTGGAAACTCTAGAAAAGCGGGAAACAATACAACATAAAGTGGAGCATACTGAAGCGTGCCCGTGCGTGTACGGCTGGTGCAGCAAGATGCAATATGTGCTTTGAAGAGAAGGTTTGCTTACTGGAAGCTGACAAAAGCAGGATATTGAATAAGCGCTCAGAACTATTCGTGAAGTGTTGTCATAGAAATAGCTTTAGCGCGCGGAAATGTGAACGCACGCGAGGTTCGTCAGCAAACCGTTAGTTCAGATCACCCCATTGAATCAAGTTCAATCGCCTGAAGATCGCTTCGGAAGAAGCGTGAAACACAGTGTAGCGATAAATATATGTTTTAAGATTAAATAATTATCGTAACGACTCGTCAATTACGACATTTGGATTTCCAATTGTCGTGCAATAGGACATAGTATTGGACACAACCATCGAATGGAAAATCACCTTTAAATTGTTTCTGAATGAAAACTGCCTGGACTTTTAATACTCGCTTCTATTTACCTTTTCTGTGATATGGTCACAATGTCTCCCTGCAGATTGAAGGTTCCACATAATCTTGTATCCCTCACAATCAGACCTTCCAGCTAAAAACAAGATAAAATTTTCATCATCTGGAATAGACCAACGTAATAAAGCCTTGGAAAACGAGAATGAGAGTAGACGTGAGCTTTCAGTAACACAATGTTACTGGGAACATTTTAAGCTCCAGGTAAACATTACCAAAATAGAGATTTGATAACTGTTCAGAATGTGTTTTAATGGACCATTTGCATTATAGACTAAAGGCCGGTTTACACGACAAGCGTTTTGGGCACGGCACCCCTGAAAATGGGCACCGTGCCAAAACCGCCACTTCGCTATTTGCTCGTTTACACGACAACATTTTGTAAACACATTTTTATGATAGGCACGGTGCCCATCGGAAAACGGCACCTCTCCTTTCCATTTACGACAGTATATTTTAAAGAATAAATATGTCGGACGGAAATAGAATTATATATTTATATTTATTGGAACGAAGAAGAGTATTATATGAGCCGAAAATCGAGGGGAAAAAACAATTCAATACTAGAAAAGTACTTTAAGGGCAAGCTCATATGGGCAAAAGTTATCCCGGTTAGCAAGAAAACTTTTCGACAAGTTTACAAACGAGATCTTGCCTTGGTATGAAAATAATATGAAAAGTTACACTGCGTTCATATGAGACAAAAAGTTTTCCCGTGTACCGAGATCTCGCGTGTTGACAAACCAGATCTCGGTGACCGGGATAATGTTTTTCCCAAATGCATGAACACAACTTTCCCGCCTAGCGGGATAACTTTCTGTCGTATCAGCATCTTTTCAATTCAATTGATATTCAGTGCGTGCCCATCGGAAAACGGCACCTCTATTTTCCGTTTACGACGGTATATTTTAAAGAATAAATATGCCGGCCAGAAATAGAATTATATATTTATATTTATTGGAACGAAGAAGAATATTATATGAGCCGAAAATCGAGGGAAAAACCAATTCAGTACTAGGAACGTACTTTAAGGGCCAGTTCATATGGGCAAAAGTTATCCTGGTTAGTGAAAAGACTTTTCGAAAAGTTTACAAGCGAGATCTCGCCTTGGTATGAAATAATATGAAAAGTTACGTGTACGTACCGTGCACGTACCGAGATCTCACTTGTCAAGTGATAATGTTTTTCCCATACGAACACAACTCTAGTTCCCGCTTGGCAGGATAGCTTTCTGTCGTGTCAGTAACTTTTCAATTCAATTGATATTCAGTGCTATGTCACAGCCGGAAACTTTACCCTGTAAGCGGAATAACGTTTCTCGATGCATGTAAACAGAACAAAAGTATATTTGGCTAGTCGAAAAGTTTTCTCGTTAACCGGGATAACCTTTGCCCATATGAACAGGCCCTTAAAGACGAAAGGAGTTGTTTCCTCGCATAAATGTTGTGCCATCTTGTATTCACCCGCCACGAATTTGAGAGGTATGGACGCATCGAACGACAGCTATTTGCTACGACCTATTTACTGCTCTATTCAGCGACGAACAGTGGTATCAAAATTTCCGAGTCAACTAGAGCAACATTCACATTCTGTGTTAAATTTGTTTTTTAACTTTTTTTCGCCGCTTGCTGCCATGTTGAAAAGAGGACAATTTGTTTTGCGCATGCTCGATGTCGAACACATTTTTTATTTTTTTCGAAATTTGGGCACGGCACCCCTTGCTAGACATGCCGAGACCACCTCGTGAGAAAGTCTCGGCACGTTTAAATTTTGCGGCACCGATACCGATTTTTGTCACGTTTACACGCCAAAAGGCAGAGGTGCCGTGCCTAAAATTTTGGGCACGGGTGCCCATTTTTAGGGGTGTCGTGCCCAAAACACTGGTTGTGTAAACCGGCCTTAAACTTTGATCTAAACAAGTCTAGACAACAATTTCATCACAGCATGAAAAAGGATCACAAAATTACTAATATTCCAAAGTTTCGTTGCGAAATGTTGTAAAATGCTGATAATACAGGGTGTATCGAAAAAAGTAAGACAATTTTGAAATTGCTCTCAATTCCACAATTCTGTTCATGAAATGTAATTTTTGCTATATATGGATTGCTTGAGTTCTTAAATTATGGAAAATATAAAAAATTTTGAAAATAGTAAATTTTGCTATCCAGGTGGGTGGTCAACTTTTACTCCCCTAAAAGTGGCTTGCGCACGGAAATGACAAACGGTATTCTTTATTTGAGTTCATGTATGAAAAGTTCGCTATTTGTTGCATTTATGATAAAATTTCGGCAGGATTTTACCGAGTACGAATCCTCCGAAAAGCCTATGAGAATGTTACATTTTTCTCCGTTGGTGCTGTTCTTGCTTCATTATGAATTCATTTTTACGCCCATGAGAGTTCCATGGAATTTTGATGGAATTTGTGCTTTCGAGTTGTTTGTGCTGAAACGCATTTTCTCGTATAATA